GGGCGGGCACCGCAGCGGGGCCCGCCTGGGGAAACGCGGACACGAGGGAGGTTAACACAGGGTTTTACGGAATGAAATCGGCCACCACTCAAGCTGTGGATCAAGCTTCGAACTGACTGTTAGCATTTCCCGAAAAACAGCAGTTTGTAAGGTCAGAAATACAGCGAGAGAATCATCTGAGCAGGCTGACAAAATCCTTCCTTCCACACGCATATGCTGACAAATTAGAAACCACCAGCCTTCAAAAAGACCTAGTTTGCACCGCAGTGAAGGGACAAGCACACACCCACTCCCACACTTACCCCAGTCGCCTGAAGATGCTGCCTGAACTCATCCATCGTTGTGTTTGAGATGCTCATGTCTCTGAACATTCCTTCCAGTTTAGACGTGAACTGACATCCACATTCAGTCTGAAACACACAACAGAACTTGTTGTTAGGAAAGCACTATGAAAACAGCGCTTTTGACATGTGAACTGCAAGATTAATGGTCAGTTTCTAAATCTCAAAAATAGTATTTCTGTACATTTGGGTTAACCAGGGTTCCCACCTGCATAAAAACTTCGGAACTTACATTTCTTATTTAATATAACTATCTAACAATACACATATCAAAACTTGCTTTCCTTCTCTTCTCTCCACTACTGTATTTTTTATTTCTTTTCAGCTTGCTATCTCATAATAAAAATAAAGATAAGAAAGCTTATCAGACCAAGGCAAACACTTTCACCTGCTTTCTTGCATGATATTATAAAGGGAAACACTTGGATTTGTATCTGAAAAAAACCCTGGTGTCCCAAGAGTGTTTAATTTAAAATGTTTACTGCAGACTACCAAGTAAGGTTACTGGACCGTTTGAAAATGAGGGATTTAATCATATATTGACACATGTGCACACATACATGCATTTAAGTTGCACATATAGGTCTTTCTGCCTATTTCAAACACCTACTTTGACATACATAGTAAAGGGAAGTATGTTAGTCTCAGCATCCTTATCATTGTGCAATCCCATTAGAAAAGAGAGCAGTTCTGACCATCTTGGAAACGTCTGCCCTTCTTGCCTCCAGGCAAGAAGTGGAGAATTATCTGGGAAAGAATCGGTATCAGTAATCTGGAATGAATACTGGTAATTTGGAAAAATCTGATGCAAACAGGCTTCACTCACCTATAGAAAGCAAAGGTCAAAAATTAAGATTGGTCAAGTTTGATTTTAGGATCAAATTACTCTGGTTGGGAAGCTCCCTAGCCATTAGGAAGGAGCTGCACTGTAACACGCTTCAAGGATTGTTCACCTTTAGGCTTTACTTCCTTCTCCATCTCTTGGTCTATTTAATCAGTAAATAGAACCAACTATGGAAAATGTGTTTCCAGACTCTGATTTGAAGATTTATTTTTTTTTTCTTAATCTCAAACTACTTAATCAAATACGAATTGAGCATTATCATCTGTAGATGGAGGGAACTAGAAAACAACATATACAATAAAGGAATTCTACTGTGAATAACAAAATCTAGGATACAGAGTCTTCAAATCCAGTAACTAGATAACAGTTGTCATCTTATTTAAAGAGTCTTAATTAATTTGGAAAAAAAAAGGCTTTTCTCTAGATTGCTCTCTCATCACAGGTGCTTTCCAGTACTTACGTCCATTTACTTCCACAGAATTATTCAGAAAAACCTTTATTTTCTGTTGGGGTTTTAAAATTTTATATGCATTTAACAGCAATCATGATAGGTTACCTATATATCCCTTATGTAAAAACAGAAGAAACTGTATTTATGAAAAAATGAAGTAAAGAGTATGCAGATACTGTCTTACCTTTAATTTGGATATCATATTTTTCTCAGAGTCATCTGAAACACTCTTGTTTGTCAGAAGTCGTCTTGCCAAGTGCTGCTTGTAATAGCGTTCAAAAACATCTTTCTCCTGCATAAACCTAAATAAAACCATTGCCTTATCCAATATAGTTTCTACTTCTTGCTCTGTTAGCTGAAAAAGACAGAATTTGCTAGTTTTAACATTCCAGCATAAGTATCTTATGCAACCTAAATACTTCAAGTAATTCACAGCAAGCACATGGTCTAAGTTGCCTATCAAAAAGCCAACTGGTCCAACATGTGAATGACAGAGCCAAAAGAATGATGTGTAAATTCAAGAGCAGAGAAACAAACATCTAAAACGAAGGAAAAAGCAAGTGTGAGGGAAATGGGAGATGATGGATGGGTAGAATGCCTGGGTAAATACAGTAAAACTTCCTGGATAAGTTTTTAAATATTTTTTAAAAGCACAGACCTCAGATGTTTTACATATACTTTTTTTTCAAGGCAGTATTGACATTTATCTTAATACAAAAATAATCCTTAGAAAAGTAGCTTAATTTAATTTAACCCAAGTTTACATAGCAAAGAGCACGATCTTTCAATTTATACTTACTCCCTTCACTCCCTTTTTCAGCTTATCATCAATAAATAATGAGAGGTACTCTGGAGACCTAGAGTTGAGGTTGAGGAAGTACTCGAAGTCACCCGCAATAGTCTGTTTGAACAGACGATCATTATTGAAGGATTCTTGGAGAAAACGGTCAAACCTACTCTTCAAGTCCAGTAAACCCTGTAAAAAAAAAAAAAAAGCAAAACCATCACTGATTTGAAGCTGTAAACACTAATAACAGATAAAGCTGTAAAGAAGGCCATAGCTGTCATGAGAGATTTTGCAAAGCTCTTTATAGTTCAGCATTATTAGAAAGTACCTGCAATTCCATTTCTATTTTACATATGGCTGCCATAAATCTCTAATAGAAGTAGTTTTCAGATAAACTGGCAAAACTACTGCTCTCCAATACTAAGGAAGTTTGCTGTAACAGGATACTCAAAGATTAATAGTTTTTTAATCACAAGCTGGTTTGTCATATTTTCAAATCCACAATTGAAAGGAAGGATTTGTTGTATTTGCTAAGTCTTTTCTATTTCAAGTAATCTTGACAAAGCCACAATCAAACGCAGGATGTGGAAAAGATGAGGCTAAATATCAGCTCTAAACACCCATTACCTGCATCCTTATAGCTACTAACCAACGTTGAAGAAAAAACACTGCAACAACAGGCCTCTTCTTGTTAGGTCCCCCTTGCTCCCTCCTCTAATTTCAATTCAGGGACATGTCCTGTACTATTTAGTTGCATGTTTCTTACTGGTATTTAAGAGTCACTGTGAGCATATGAAAATCACATACAAGCAGTAGCTCCCCAGTCATCACAGTATGAAGTTCACAGGCCTCAATCAGACCACTTCCTCTGAGCTCAATCATCAGATTCTTAGTATCATTTTTAGGGTTTGTACCATCTTCATCCAGAGTTAAAAGAACTGAGTGCAGAGGGGGGAAAGCACCTTAAAAATCACTTGAGCACCTTGTTAAGTATACATATGATACACACAGGGTTCTGACATAACTAAGACAGCATTTGGAGGGGGAATAAAATCTCACTTGAGAGTTAAGTTTCTCATGGTTAATGACTGCTCACAAAATCTGTTCAGATTAAATGATCTTGAAGCTGTAGTTTCTTAAGCAATTGTTTTTATCTGGTTACTTAGAGAAGCCATTCAAGAATTACTCAAAGAGGTACTAACATTTCTTAGGAACTCACCATCTCACTTAAAGGAATGGTCTTGAGACAGGTTAATTAATGTGTATTAGAAATTTTAAATTCAAAGTAAATTCAGCTATCTCTCTCTTTACCAATGTTAGCTTACATCTCCTCTCCAGGAGTACACCATCTGAACAGCCTGGTGTTAAACAGGAAAAACTGTTAGTACCTTAAATTACAATGGCATTTCAACATCCCTTCAAATCATTATAAGTTGTTTTAATTCTGATCCCCTGGCAATGCTTTTCCAACCAGCTGGCCAAATATGCTCAGCGTTTGAGTGATGTCATTGCAGAAGCAGTGCTGGACTATGACAATGTTTTTTTTTACTTGAGGGTATAATGTACCTTCCTTGTCTGCTACTTAAGTCCTTGGAAAATTCAGATGAACACGGCTAAGATGAGAAGAGTGAGGTGGTTTCTCAATTCACAGGTATTTTTCTCTTCTTCCATCATGTCAACAGAAGTGGAGGATAACCCTATTTGGGGTGGCTGGGGTACACACTAATGAGCTAAAAGGATGAGCTCTGCCAAAGTACATGCAGTATCACTTCAGCTTCATTATGCTATTGGCCTTCAGGCAGGAAACATCAACAGCATCTTTATGTTTTTAACTCTCAGTAAAACTTTTTATTATAACCCTTTAGGTCCATCAGGATTTTAAATAGTGAAAGTTTCTTCAAAGCAATCCAAATACTTATTTTCCATATAATTTGCCTTTAAAAAAAAATAAAACAATCATACCACCACAAAAAGCATTAAACCTCATAATTAAACCTAATAAATTTCAAAGGGCATTCTCACTGCTTTTTAGCAATTCTTGGAGATGTCATTCTTGACCAAGCTTGGTAAGACGACTGCTTCAGCATTGCCAGAAAAGTAATTATGCAATAAAAAATGTTTTTATACTCAAATGGCTTCTTCTAACAGCAACCAGTTCTAGCAAAATTATTGATTTCAAACGAAGGAGCAGAGATTATAATAGACATTCAGTAATACGTTTTTCATAAAGACCAGACACAAGAACTTTGACTACACACTTAAAAAACCCAAATATTTAATGAGTACACTTTCAAAGTATAACACATCTTCCAGTTATAGAAACATTTCCTTAAAGTTCATTGAAGTGTCAAGACTTAATGTGTAAATTTAAAATCATCTTCTAAGAGACAATGGGAGAGAAAAGATGACAAACACTCCTGAAATGTATTTTGTGATCTCGATAAATTAATGGTACACATCACTTCTTACTGCAAGACTGAGAAAAGAAGGAGCACCTATCTTTTAACATGCAAAAGTGTTCTGTTTCTCAAGGAGACCAAGAATGAAGCAAGTAATTTGTTATGATTCATAACAGGTTCACCTCCCAAGTCATAGCTTATCCTGTCTTGAAATACCGTCATGTGACTTTTGTTTCAATAAACATTGATAGCTAGCATTACATAATATTAAACAAAACACACTGTAAAGCTACTTGCCAGCAGACATACTACTCACTCCAGAGGTAAACACGTTTAGGATAATCCAAGAAATTCCCAGCAGCTAGATAAATATTCAGTTACCCTGTATATTGCTTAATAAAACATCTTTCAAAAGCACAAAAACAGAGCACATACTTTCCAAGCAACTTAAGCAAAAGAGAAGCTCTAAATGTGACTGAATATTCAGAAATTTTACATTTTAAACAAAATTATAAATGTAGCTTATTAATAATAATAATAATCCCTTTGAATCAATATTAAGGTTTGGCTTATCAATCATGAAGTTAACTGCTATCCTGGGGAACATGTGAAAGATGGAAGGAAAAAATGGAGCTACCTGAATGTAGTCAACCGGATTCTTCCCTTCTCCCTCTTCAGAAACTAGTGCTTTGCCTTGCTCTCTCAGGTAGGAGCTCATGCACTCACACATCGTCTTCAGGCCATTTGGCACACGGCTAAATAACTTGTACATGCAAGCAAGGTCTGGAAACAAGAATGAGACATTATGCAGGACACTCTCTCTTGTACTTCTCTAAGTTGTTCATCTCATAGCAAAAGATGACAAACATGCTGCCACTTCAGTCACAAAAAGCATCCCGTAACAGCTCAGGCACTAGAATCTTGACATGGTGACTGCAGCAGCCACAAATTTAAAAACAAAGATTGTATTCAATTATTCTAAGTGGGATACAGCATAGAATTTGTTATTGCTGATCCCCAGGCCAGTAGAAGTTGATGCCTGTGCTAAAGAACAGTGCACTTCATGGTCTCCAGTGGTATTTAAGAATGTCGTGTTCAAGATTATCATGCCAAAAATCAAATATTGTATTAAGAGCTTTAAGAACAGTTTGAGTTAAAACAAATTAAAATTTGAGTTATACCAACCCTAAGGGGATGCTTGTTTCTATATTAAAAACAAAAACTGGTAAAAATTGGAGTTTAATCCCTATTTGTCTCAAAGTCAGCATTAAACTTTATAATACTTTAAGTGGCAGCTTAGGTTAAATGTGGCTTTCCAAAAGAGCAATTCATCCTTGGACATTTATGTGAAACCTTATCTTTACAAGGCAGCAAATATTTCCTCTCTAGTATTTAACTAAATCAAACCAAGGCCTGTAAGAGTTAAACTAATTCCTGTATCTTATGAATACCCTTCAATATCCTTGTATCCTCAGCCTGAAGGTTATGTTAACTGGATATTAAAGAAAAAAATGTAAAGTATAGTACGATCACTTTCCAATACAGTAATTGTCTTTTATTACAGCTAAGAAATTTGCTCACTTTGCCACTCCATCACCTAGTAATTGTGAAGCTACTTTAATGAACAAAGGCCATTAATCTAAGCAGCAAGTCTGTCCTCCATTCTCATGGCCTCAGCACTAGCACTGATTTCTAATTAGAGACAGTACAATCACATGCTGCTTTATGCTGCTTTAGAAACTTATGTTCTGTTTCTTTCCATAGTAACTTTCATTCAGTCATTCTGTCCCACATTAACCTTTATTAGGGAAAACCGAATCAAGTCAATCCCTTCTTCTTCAACCATTTTGATAAGCTGCTTATCCTTTAAAAAGAGCCAACTTATTTCTGCAACAAGAGAGCTGGTCCTGCAATACTTCTACTAAATTAAGTAATTTACACTAGCACTTTTTAAATGACTGCCTGTGGGCCAAAAAACCTCAGTACATTTTGACAGCTACATACTAGATAATGAAAGTAATAAAAGGGATCATAGAAAAAAGTAACAAAGACCACTACAATAGATTTATACTTTTCTTAAAGAGATACTTGGCTTAATGAAAAAGTACTTCTATCTGATACTAAACAGAAACAAGCTATACATGTGGGCTCTATTTTAGAAGCCCTCTAAAAGTCTCTGAAGTAGTACTTCTCAGATGTTTGCAAAACAGAGCTGAAGTGTTTTTACAACTCCACAGGAATGCAACATTAAGCTTGACTTATCCTAAGTTTAAAAACAATAAGGAGTATTGTAAGCATTTCTGTCTCCAATTTGATGCAGTCTTACCTTCTGTCTTTCCATTTTTCAGCATATGAACTAGTCCAGAGTTCTCCATTTCCACTATAGTTTTCATATGCTTGGAAATAAGTTCCCTCTCAACAACTTTCACAATCGGTTCTTCTGTTGTTTTATCCAGACAATGCATCACTCTTTCTATTTCTTCATTAATTCTAGCTTCTACTTTCTTTATGTACACAGAAGCACTGTTTTCAGCTAAAAATTTCTGACTTTCCATCTGTTATCAACACAAATCAATACATTAGACTTTTTTTTTAAAGGGGAAAAAGGAAACATACTAGTTATTTCAGATCAACATTTAGAAACAAGTTAAAATCAAACCCTGCAAGTCCAGGAAGAGATCATATCTCCCAAGATTTACATACATGCTTAACACAAAATGAAGATTGTGTTACATACATAAGGGGGTACATACAACATGAATACAGTATTTTTCACACCAAAACAACCTAAGCCAAACTAGTTACCTGTTACCAACTAAAGGTTTAGCCACAGGTCCAAAGAAAACTGAAAGATGGGGAGAGGGAAGAGGCAAAAATTCCTTTCAAATACCAGTTTATGGCACATTTATGAGTTCTGAGGGTCAAAACTTCTTATTAATGTTAATGCTGAGCACGTTAGTGCATATGAAGTTGTGTTTATCCATACTGGTCAGCAAAGCCTTTTGGTGGAAAGTTTGGGGTTTTTTAAAGGCAGAACTAAGAAATAAAACTCTAATGATTTGTTCTTAATTTTATGTGGCACCAATGAAAAACAGAATACAGTATCTTCTAAATAGTTGTGCAACATATGCTTCTGATTTTAAAGGAAGTTTGGAAACCAGAGGATATGACAGACAGTCAATCCTGCATAAGAACTGTGAGGCTGACAAATTATCTTATCTAGGTATCTTGTAACATGCTTTTATAATTTCTATCTATTTCCAACAATAGATGAGCATGAATACACTCGACAATGATACAACTGGCTTTTTTTTCCCTGAAACTGTCTCACAAAAAAAAAAAATAATCAGGAAATATTTTAAAGGTGTTATTCAGTGAGTGGTTCAACAACTAGACAGCCACTTGAATATACTTCATTCCTTGACTCGCTTCATTTTACTACCAAAATTAACTCATAAACATAGAAATTTTGAAGGAATCAAAGCTTCCTCAAAGGCAGTTTGACAGGCAGTCTCCCCTCTTCATTTCCAGCCTAAAACAGTTTCAAACTTTCATGCTATTAGTAGCTAAAAAAACTGTGGCTCTGATAGGGAGCCTATCTCCAGGGATAGATTAAGTTGCACAAAATAGCCCAAAGGCGGCACAAGCTTAGCACAGTGACTACACGTTATTGGTCCCCATACCTCAAAACTACATTCATGTTATGGTAATTCTGTAAAATGTGTTAGTTTTTCTGCAAAGTTAGTTTTGGTGTTTTTTTTTTAATGGAGTCAAATAAGCAGCAATTACTTAAAGCAGCACCAATTCTCACAGTTTCAGGTAGTTGCAACAATATTGCAAATACAATATTATAACACTGCTGTACCTGAAAAAATTCTGCAGACATCTCCAAAAATGGAGCCTCAAAGTCTTCTTCATAGACTGATCTTCCTTCAAGACCTAGAATCATTAACATCTGGCAAGCATTTCTTATTGCGCCTCTGCCAAAAAGTAAGTTGTTAACAACTTCAGAAATCTACATGTTTTTAAGACAAAATACACAGCAGAATAACAACTCAGAACATATTAACTTCAATAAAATATAGCAATAGCAAGCCCATCCTAAACCTGGTACACGATAAGTTTTCAAAAAGATTACAGGTGCAAGACTGATTATTTTTGTTCTAAACTGAGGAATTGACAATGATTTATTGATGACTTTAAATACAATGCTAGCAGGGCAGGCCTCACTTTCTATTAACTCTGAAAACTACTAAGAATATATTTCAACATACAAGAAAACAACAAAAATACTACTTCAAAGAAAACTTAAAACTGCACATATAAGTTGCAACTGAACAATTCAAAACAACTGCACAGATGAAGTTGCCATGCGAAGTCTGGGGTTTTGCTCAGTTGGTTGTTTTTTAAAAAAAAATTACAAAAACCCACAACATGAAAATGTATCAGTAAGTTAAGCATTTGGTTAGGCATTGACAAACACTAATAACATGTGAAAACAAAAGAACTGTATCCAGGAAAAAATTCCACTTTCTGGCAGTAGGGGACAATACACAGCTGTTGCCAGGGAGTATTTTTCTCCTCAAAGTGCAAGTTGGGCAATCCCAGACACAGAACTGCAGCCAAAGCAGCATGGAGCTTACACAGCTCCACGCCCATGAGCTGTTCTGAAGCTGGAGATGCAAAGGAAAACATGCAGATTTGAAGTTACTTCAGCTGCAGTATTTGCAGTGTGTGGCACAGAACTTCACACCTACTAAATAGGGAACGGGTCTAAAAACCCACAGATGCAACTGAACTACCCAGAAACTGATGGATCAAAACATCAAGGAAAAAGAAGAGAAATAAAATTTAAAAAGAAAACTTAAAAAAATTCCAAAACACAGGTACAAGAAAATGAAAGTCTGTCAGTAAAAAGGAAATACTGGGTAGAAAGAGGTAGAGAATTGTCAAAACTCTGATTTATAACCAAATGCTCTGACATAAGGCCATAATTGAGAGATTTAATGTAAGTTTTAACAAAAACCACAAGATAAATATTTTAAAATACATTCATGAGCTTCCCCATTTACCATTATACTAAACCTTATTATACAAAGAAATGTATTATTCCAGATTGTGGATATATTTTACTTATTATTAGAAATGTGGCCTTAAGTAATGCTGTATGTTCTTAATTCACTCTTACAAATTGACAAGTATTATTCATTATTTGCAACAAAAGATGGTCACTTACAAATATCTTACCTATCTACAACTTCTCCTTTCCTTTCCCTTGCAATCATATCCAGCAGAGTTTGCCGCAGGTGATCCCTAATGCAGCCGTATCGCACAACCTGGTCTCGAAAAATAATCAAGCCCAAATTGTAGACATTCTCCACGTTGTTTTGTTGCACATACACACGGTCCTACAACAAAGGCACACACAGCAAGATCATTTTTAAATTGGGTACCTCTGTGCTATTCAAAATTGCATGAGATTGGGAATATTTCCACTATACAGAAAAAAAAAATAAAATCAAAGTAATCTTCTTTCGCCATAAAAAGAAATGATGAATACCTTAAAAATTAAAAAAAGTTTCCAAAAACTTCATTTGCACAGAAAGTCTACTTTGCTTAGGAGTGTAAGCACAGCATTCCCACCACTCCTTTTAGGCAGACAGATTGCCCTCAATTTTCAGTGAAATGTCCTGAAGTGGCATAGTTAGATGAACAGAAGAAAAAGTAAAAGCCAGAATGAGAACAATTACAATCAAAACACTTATGGATTAGTACTGCAAAATGGTACATAAAGATTTCCACTGAAGAACACCCACTCCACAAATTCACTTTCATTCAATTTGATCAAATGTCTTGAAACTTTGTTATGTTTCACTAAAATTGCACTTATATACACACACCCCAAAAAAGAAAGGAGAGAGAAGAAACTGCAATACTTATGTTTTGATGGGGTTTACAGTCATCTTCTTACATAATCTCAATCTATAGGAAGAATCAAGCTCCTCAAGTATCCACTATCCCTACACTGCCTATGTTCACAAATCGAGCCTGATCCTCTGAACAGCCTTCCAACTTGTATAGCTCAAACACTATCAGAGCTGACTGAGACACTACTGAGCACAGACCCAAGTTTCTTACTGCTACCTGCAGAAATGCTCCAAAAATGTCTCCCCTTTTCTATTCCTCTCTCCCAACTTAGAGCTCTCTAGAAAAGGAAGACTAATAATAAAATTACTAGCGGACAGAAAAATAGTGTATTCACTTAATATCCAGTGCTGCTATACCAGGTAAGACCATTTAAAACAACATTCAGAATAGAGCAATTGAGTTTCTATTTCTCAGATAAGCAATGATTGCTTTAATTTCTGTCAGGGCATAATCCATTCATCTAATGTAACAGTCTGGTTAATTACTAAAAATACTACTTTACTATCAATTCAGCCCCAGAAGTTTTGTACCCACTCACAAATGTGACTGTAAGGTTTTCTGAGAATTTACATATCTGTAACAAAAAAAAAAAATCAAATTCTATGAAGGATGAAGGTCAATGTTTGAAATTGAGTATAAAGATAAGATACTCCACTGGATTAATCAATTATCTTATGTGCTTTACGACACTCAGAATTGAAGTGCAAAGTTACTCAAACACCTAGAAAACTAAACTATTAAGAAGTCCGAAATAAAGACTACAAAATTTTAAGTTCATATAAATTCTGCAATTGTAAACATCAGAAGGAACAGAGAGCATACCCTTTAGTAATTTAGCAGTTGAATTTATGTGGCAAAATTATTCATATGCTAATTATATGCCAGATTGCCACTTGATGACCAGAGGAAAGTGAAACACTGGGTCCCATAATTCACCAATGATTCCAGCCACTCCCTTCAGACTGGCAGAATTTAATTTAAATGAAAAAAACCAAGATGAGAAACCAAGATGAAAAATCAAGATGGGAACAGGTCAGATATGTCTGCTCTGTGGCTCATGAAGCTAGCTTACTTTTGCCTCAAAGCAAAGAGTTTACTAACTGGTCTCATAAAACCAGTGTAGCAACACTGGTCTTGGTCTTGTATATTAATCTATTTTTTCTGTTATTTAGAAACAGATTATTTCATTTCCTTATTGACACACTTGCATTAAGAACAGAAGTAAACGTGACTCTAAAGTAAGCTTTTTGAAGAGATTAAAGAGAAAATTAAAAAGTAGTGTGTAATACACTGCATGACTTGAGGAGAAAAGACTTATTTCCTAAGAATATTCATACTGCTGAAGTACAGGCAGCAGGGTATCAAACTGGATTAAAGCCATCGTCATGACTCATCTGCAGAGCTTCTATGATGGCACTGCTATTATGAAATGAAATAGCAAGTGCACTAGAAGGTCTTCTCAATGTAACAGCAATGCCTCTTCACCCAACAACACCCAAATTAAAGTAGCAGCATTAATGTTTCTGATGCTGCTGATTTGCTTACCCTTGGTAACAGATCACTTTCACCATTTACTAGAAGCTCTCCTAACATGGAAAAAAAAAAATAAAAAAAATCTCTTAAGAGACAAGATGACCTATGTAGCATGAGGTTTGACAGACAATACTACAGGCTACTGAACAGCAATCACTTCCCAAACAGAGAAGCAACAAGTGCTTAAAGGTAAAAGTAACTCAAGAGACAAGGGTAGAGTTTCAGACAGCAATTACTCATTAACTACAAGGCTGGTTAATGCTGCAGAATAATTCTGATCTCAACTAAAGCATGTTACCTACCATACAAAACCACTAGTCAAATTTTTCCCATCTCTGCTTGAATGCACTACCTGGATGATGTACCTTTCAGACACCATTGTGTGTGTATATATATCTCAAGTGTCCTTGATCCTAGATCTGAACATAAAAATACCACTTCTCCCTACTACCTTGTGTGTAAGCCATAAAAAATGGCAGTCATATGCCCTGAGCTCAAAACTCACTTGATCTGTCAAGTGCTGGCCTAAAAGAAGATGCAGGCTTCGTGCAGCCCAGGGATGAGATAAGAATGGTCTGCCCTCTGCAACACACATGGCTGTGCAACACACACGGCTGTACTTGGATGAGGCACGAATGCTCAGCCCCCTGCAACACAGCTGTACTGGCAAGAGGAGCTGCTCACCTCTGATACTATCTGTGGGCCTGTGCTGCAGCCAGGGGTGTGACTGCTGCCCTTGTGTACCTGAAATTGCTTTACATTTAGCAAGTACAGGTAGTGAAAAAGGGACACCACAGAATCCAGTTTAGCCCAGTTTCTGTAAGACATTCCAAGAATGCTCACACTCATGTAGCTTTAAGAGAAGACTGAACAACTGCACCTCCACTGCTACTGTTATCAACAGTAGTTAAATAAGAACTACAGTAGTTATGTTTACCTAAGTTGCAGCTAGAGGCAAGACTGAATTTCAGGTATGCCCACATGCAGAACATTGCTTTGCTACTTCAACACGTCTTAGCACATGACTCAACACAGTGAAGACACTACTTAGGACATGACTTCACTGCTTTGATACCTCTGCTGGCTGCAGACAGTGCCAGGAGTTTTCAGAGAGCATTACATATCTTCTGGCATTGATTACTGTAGCCTGAACACGCACAATAGGAGGAGGAGAGCTCGTGCCCATATACTGCAAAATACAACAGAACTATATAAATTTGAAATTCTGTTGAGGAAATTTAGAGTATCTCAAAGTTAAGATTTGCCTTTGTGGTGCAATTCCAGGTTGCAAAGCCCTGTACAATGTAGTTCTAGTGCAACAGACCTGAAACCAAGCAGGCTTTTTTGCCAGACAGCAACCATGACACAAGAGACAAGGTAACACTTGGTTTAAAAAGCAACTATAAAGAAAGACTTAGGAGTCCTTGTGAAAGAGGTTCTGCACATCACAGGAAATCCTGCCATAAACCCCAAACACCCAGTACTCAGATTATCAAGTATCATAACAATGCACAAATCTCATTGTACAAAATAGATCTTTTTAGAAATGTACTTATTTGAATTTATTAGAAGTGGCAAAATTAAACAGAGGAAAGAGATTAAGGTGGGTTGGAGAAGTGTTTGTTTTGACTGAAATCATATGGGAGCTAGTGGGTGGGAGTGGAAAACAAACATGGCAGTAGAAGAGTGGTGATTCAAGATGTGCAATCACCAGGCTGAAGCAAGAATTTAAGAGAGTAAGAATAGAATTCAAGGTTATGTTAAATGTTTTACTTTCACTGTCGTCAGACTGTGGCTTGTTGGGTACCAATAGGTACATTTCCTGAAACTTATGTGTAAGTAATTGGGACTGTCTACAAAGTAAGAGGAGAAGGACTGGGCTATCTTTTATTTAAAAACATTATAATTGCACATACTTCTCCTGGTGGAACACAAGCATATCAATTAACAATCCCTGGTGACTTGAGTTTATACAGTACTTGTTTTTAAGATAAAAATATTTGGAATGTAAATTTTATTTGCTGTGCTTGAATAAAAGGTATAAACAACTTCTGACAACAGCACATCACTGTAAAACTACATTTCATTCAGACTCAATGTCATAAAAGAAGAAAAAATAACTATTAACTTCTTGAAAACTGTTTCTTTGAAGAGCGGATGTCATTTTTGGCACGTTCCTCTGCTTTATAATTTTGTGGTACAATCAGAGTATCACAATATATCATTTTTGAATGAACACATACTCAAGACTAGAAGTTTCCTGCTCTTAGTCTCTTTCCAATGAACAGAATTACATTTGACTCAACAGGACATCACAGTGATAAAGATAAAAAAGATAGAACTGCAAATCTTTAAGACTAGGCCTATATTAAACAACAGCTTGCACTTCGATATGTAACCAAAGCACGTAAGTTCTAATCACATCCTTCAAACAAGCATCAAGACATTGCTCTCCTGAGCACAAAAAATACCTTAGGAAACAGCTCATCTCCTCTCAAAAGTGCTAAATGAAGCACATAACCCTTCCTCAAAGAGGGCACTTCTTGGTCCTCGATACACTGGTCAGTACACTAAACAGGAACAGCTGATAAGCCAGCTTTCTCTAACACTGAGGAATGAAACATTTATTGAATTTTAAGAGCAGCAGATAATACTGCATTATCCACTCTGACCACCTATGTACCATGGAGCATCCAGCACCTACTATACTCATATAATACACAGCATTTGGCCAAAACACAACAGCTACTCCCCTAGAAAACTCTGGATTACACCTTTTAACACTTCTGGAAATTTATCATTAGTTTTAGAAGATTATTCTAATTGTTAACTGCTCTTGAATTTGTTGAGATTCATCTAGCAGCGATTCACAAGAAGATCAGAAATTACAAAATTTCTCATAGCAAAGACTGTACATCTTCAAATATTCTCTCAATCTTCCCTTTGGCAAGCTTGAGATAAAATAAACTTGAGTGTCACTGAAGGCATTTTATCCAGCCTATTTTTAGATATGTAGTCTTTTCACAACCACCACAGAACACCCATAACACAAAAGACAGTAAATTTATTTTAAAAAAACCTACACTGGAAGTTTAAGAAGGCTTTACACCATTATACTTTCCACAATAAGAAACCAATACATGAACTAAAACATGCAAGTAACATTTATAACCTGCCAGAATGCATCTGACTAGCTTATTTGTTAAGAATAGCACAATCAATAGTTTTTCAGATGCATTTTGCAAGTGATAATGACAAAACCTGAAAGAAGGATCCAATTTTAACTTGTCACACACCCATAACAGTCCTGCATGCACACAGAGAATTCAAAACAAGGGACAGACAGTAATCTTAGGATGAACCCTGGTAAACATCCCTTGCTTTTTACCCTTCCAGCTAATTTATTTACATTTGTCAACAGGCAATTTACTGCATCAAGTTAAATGTATGATAAAGCAGAATACTCACCATATACATCAGAATGTCTCTAATCATCACCATAGCAGTTTGATGATCATTCCACGCTTGGTTTAGTGTTTGTAGAAAGTTGTTATTCAAGGAGTTTAATACATCTTCTCGCACCTGAAGCAAACAAAAATGTAGTATATTGTCATAAACCCAAGCCAGTTTCTCCCACATAATTTAAACCTTAACAAGCTTTGCTTCTTGCTCCCTCTATGAATTTCAATATTACCAAGAAGTTCTTGCTTTTCCTGGGTGCTGACCATCCCCTACCTTGCATTAGACTTCTGTGGGATAAAAAAAAGACTTCATACAAGCAAGAAAAATTGGGCTAAAAACAAGAAAAAAAATAACATGGATGTTCACTTTCAAGGGAATAACTCAAGTCTCAAATGTTATTTTCTTACAACTCCTCAAAGGTTTAATTTCCTAGTGCTATAGTGTTTCAACTAATGTTAACAGTACTATCACAGAATATTAGGTAGTAAGGGTAAGCGTTGAATTCAGGAACAAGTACAGGTGGCAAATCGGCCCTAACGACATTTAGAAAGACATGAGACAGAATAAAGTTACAGCTAGCAACAGTTCTGAAAGGAAACAGTAACTTAGCAAAGACCACACACTTATACTAATGGCTGAATTTGCTGACTGATTCATCTCTCCCATCAGCTTCAGGCTTTACTTCTTTTTGACACTACTACTCCCTTTAATAAATAAAACCATCCAGTTTAATATTTTGATTTACATGAAATAGGCACATACTACAGTACCCAAGCTTTAAACTCATGTAAAAAAGAAACACAGGGGAATGTAAAAAAATATTCCAGAGTTAACAAGACACATGAATTTTGACATAACCTGCAGATTACATTCTGTCCTCTGTTGTAACTGAACAGAATACACTTTTACATTAACAGATTTGTATTTATACTTGTGTGATAATGGAAATTTCAGTAGAGAGAATTCAAACAGGAAATCCAAACACACATGACAAGCAGCCACAAGCTGCTCCAACATCAGATGGAACCACCTGACACACCCCATTCTGTCATTCAAGTTTTCAGAAGTTATTACGCAAAACCAGCATAACAGAAAATTCCCAGTCTGCCACACTACTGCATACACTCCATAAACTCTCATGAGCAAGCCAGTAACACCATGACACACCGTACAAACACCAAGGTGTCTTCTTGAGAAGCTGTGGAAACTTATGCCGGTAATATCCAGTTTGTTGTTGAATTTAGGTAACTGAGGCAAGCTTGTAGGTTTTAAAAAGAATCTTCAAAACACCTATTCCCCAGACCCTTGCTCCTTGCTTTTGGAAAACACAGTATGCAGCTCTAAGTCCCAACCAGCACTGCTTAGCTGCCTCATTCTTTCTGATTGCGATAGTTTACCCCTTGGGTCTCCCAAAAGTGCACCCCTGTTGTAAGCCTGTTTGCGTAGTTTTTAGCTAAAATCTAAATATGCATTAAAAACATCACCAGCTGTACTTGTAAAGAATAGACTGAAACTCCCAGAACAAGAGAAATAAACATGACACAGTTGTTTTCATTTTAGTCAATATGCAAAAACACTGGAAACACTGTTAGGTAGATCACTCATATTGGTAAAATTTACCAAAGCAAAAGTAAAAACTTCATTAGTTTACAGGCACACATAACCAGGGTAGGGATTGATCAACTCTAGTAAAGTATTCAAGGCGATCACAGAACTCTTAAAAGGATTAAAGAAGGTTTTCTTGGCTCTGTTTGTTTGTTAACAACTCAGAAGCAGCGTGCCTTTGCAATTACAACAACAACAATGCTCCTAGAGCAGCCAGGGCCAACTGGTAGCAAAAGGGGGTGCTTGCCATCAGGTAGCAACAACGATTTGCTTCCAATCAGTCAAGAGAAACATTCAGATCTGTACCACCTCTGCTTTATTCAGTATGGCATGTGGCCACCTAGAAATGTGTTTTAAATCCAGAAATGGGTGCTATACAACAGAATTTCTCTTAAGAGTCTCTCTGTGAAGCTTTGCAATGGCACTCTCGTAGGTTTATTTTAAGCTGCAGGCAGCTCTGCAAAGCCATTATTTTAGTTGCTACAAAAGCCAACAAAATTATTGCTTACAACAGCTGTCTAGAGTTCATAAGTGTTGGGATACATTCCTCTTATAGGCTATGAATACAGCATTACAGGAAAACTACTACAGCACACAAAATATCCTCGCCATGCGAAGGCGAAGTCTGAAACCACTCTGGTGCAATAAATGACTTGTAGTAAAAAAACCTAGATAGTCACACTCTTCTACAGAAAAGGAAGCCCTTCAGGAATTCAGCTGCTGCTCTTGCAAAGTCTGAAGAAAATGTCAAAGGTTTTTATCAGCAGAATGTTCCTTCCAATTAGCTGAGCTTGTAGTGACTTCTGTTACCATCTTTGCAGTAACATAGTAAATTGTCAGGCATATCTAGCTTTAATAGGACTGCCTATACACAGTCTCAAAAATAAATGTAGATTATGAAGCTGCCAATAAGGTCTTCCTATGTTTGCAAGGATACAATATTGTATATAACTTCAGGCAAAACTGTGCTTTATACTGGATATAGCTCTTAAATAAATATAGCACCCTCCCTCACCAGTCTCTTCAGAATAGTTTGTTGGCATGAGCTTGCAATAGCTTTAAATAACTCCCTATTAAGTGTACACAAAGCAGACTTACGGCCTAGTATTTTCTCTCTTGCAGTGCCTGGCCTGACGCAGCAGCATGAATAGTTGTATTATGTAATTTCCACTACTACAAGGACAGCCAGAACCTTCTGTGGGGAGCAGCAGTTTAGAACAGCACTTTCTGAACTAAAGCCTCAAGGTCTAAGAACTTTTATTACAGTTTCTTCATCTTCTATAGAAGTCCAAGTAGTACAAAAGATAGTATTGTAAAATCTCAGAGTTCAAACTATGGTTACAGAATAACATTACCAGAAATGCCTGTTCACCCCTGCAGCTGCTATCCTTCTGCTGAAAGAAAAAAACCCCAAACATTGAGGATTCTGAATTGCATCTACTTTCTGGCAATTCCTTCACATCCATTTAACTGCAGACTTGCAAAAGATCATCTTAAAACACCATTAAGATAAAGGCAGATAACACTTCATATATTGTTGGTCAGGTTTACAGTGCACCCTAAATGCTTACCAATTAATTAGCCTCCTGCACAACTTCTCAGGCCACTCCCTCCCTACCTCATAGATATTATGGAAATAATTTCAAACTCCCTGCAGGAGATTTCTATCTTCCCTCTCCCCGTCCGTCCGCAACACCACAACAGCAAAATTCAACACTTACTGGGGATCCTAGACATACCTTTATAAGCCCCAGAGTAAACATGCTTCCTTCACCCCATACCTTCTGCACCAGCACCCCATACAGTTACTTCTGCAGTTAACAGTGCCATAATGACTGGCCCTGTGTCCCCCTTACCAAAGGCTTTCTTGCATGCCTGCCTTTACTATTATGCTGGAATAGCTGGCACTGTCACTACCAAACTCCACCAGTTGTATCAGCAAAGACCATCAAGTCATAAGTCATTCTGGCATGCCAGTAACAGCAATGTTTGACAAGATGATGAAATCTTACAGGACATGACAATATCTCCTGCTTTTCATTAATGCCCTAGTATCTCCCCAGACAAGCACATTTCAGCTCATTTAAGTTTAGGACACCCTTTAACATCTCTGAATCCCTGATGTATAAAGCACAGGCACCCCACCCAAAAAAACTCCATTGAGTTTGGCTAACGAATAAATACATTTCTTTGTCACACACACAGAATTTACAAAATATATGTTATATTTTATATCATGGGTTTACACATTTCATAGTCTAGTGAAATCTAAAGTATCCTGCCACCTTTTAACTTCAAGAGTTTTTTCTTCTAACAGAAGGGAAGAGCATCCACATCCAGCTACAAGACTGCCAAAGGGGAGAAAGATCAGTGAAATACCAGATGCACAAGAACTAAATACTTCAATTACTATGAAAACTTTTAATACTTTTTAATCAATGCTATTTAAAGTTCAATTCTATGTGTACTATACTTTAATAATTATGCCAATACACAGGCAAAGACAAGTTTTAGCATGCCCTTACCCAGTAGTGAAAAAAAAGGCAATTTAAGGCAGCCAATTCCTGTCCAATTCCTCCAATGATGTGGAGGAAGATACCTGGCTTACTACTGCCTTCATTAAGTAGCCAGGATCTGGTAACTGTGAGCCATTGGGGTCTGCAAGTTCAACAGTACTTGCTTATGTGTGCTTCTATCAATCATGTTTGCACCTATCATTTTTTATAATTAAATAATTTGTAAAGACAATATACGGTTCTAGGTTTTCTTGTTGAGGGGTTAAATAATTTTCTTCTTAACGTGCTTGAAATCTTTCTAATAAGAAGGCTGAGTAGGCATAATTTTTAAATTAGCATAAATATAGCTCTTCACTGTACCACACCAAAATAAAAAGCTTTCATTTTCCAAGCTTGATCATTACTTGTAAAAAAATCAGAACAAATACATTTCCCTAATCTAGTCTCTTAATCAATTCCTAATTAACCAGCCCCACTGTAATGCTACAGGAATGTAACATTTTCTAGAAAGATAACCAGCAGAAAATTGGGTTTGGCTATTCAGAAGCACCCCCTGAAGTCAATGTAGTCCTTTACTAAAATATATTAATTTCTGCACATTCTCATTTTGATAAAAAGTTAAAAGATTTCATGAACAACACTTCAGTTGGAAAAATCCCCCTCTTCTAAACAGTGGCATCCACCATTGTGTGAACAGCTGTTTCTAAAGACACATGATGAGAGCATTTATTGTTAATCAGCTACTTCACATTTAAGAGACATTCCTAAAAAGAAACACACAAGATTCCTCCAAAACTTCTGTTACATAAAGCATGAGGTTAAACAAAAACTTTCTAATCTATCTTACAACAAGTAATAACAGCAAAAACATAAGATGCCATTATAGAACTGATCCTGTCCTTAAAAAACAAACAGATACAATAGCATTAAGTGTCAGAAAAGCATTTCTCTACCCTGATAATTGTGTAACCCTCTTGGCCAGTGCAGTGATGGTACAAACTCACAAGATCTTCTGCTCTTCTGTCAGTTTGCCATAATCAGCACTTCAGAGTAATTAATCTTTCATATGGATAATTTTTAATATACAGAAGAGCAAGGAACAAAGATAAAGAAGCCTTCCTCAAATTAAACAAAGATAAACTAAAGTCTAGGAAGATGAAACATTTAGTGTCATGCTTATTATTAAGTATAGACTGTAAAGACAGCCATATGCATGAACAAGGTACAAAAAGCCTCAGTCATTTGCCACACTTTATATGAATAGCACAATTACGAATGCACAAATTATGAAAACTGTTTTCAGTCACAGATGTGCTATGATTATAGATCAGAGCCATAAATTTCTCAGCCACTTCATAAAGGATGCTCCCTCTCACGTGAGCATGAAAGAAGCCCCACATTCAAAGCAGCTTTAGACTACGCTTGGCTGGCCCACATCTTTGAAAACTAAGATTTTTTAAAAGATGCAACACACTTCTGTCACAGCCATAGCCCCAGTTAGAAAACATAAAAGCTCCACAAGCATTATGGATTTAGACATAAACCTCCCATCCACTCTCTGTAATTCAGCCAGAAGTAATAATCCAGGATACAAGATGGTGTGCAACTTTCCAAATGTTGCACTAACAGGACAAAACTCTGATCCTCCACCTGAACTTACAGCCAGTATATGGGATTAAAGTGGACATGTGTCTCAAAGACAGGGAGCTGTGGATGTTACCACAAGGAGTAAGGTATCTTCCCTAGATTTAGGATACTATTATCACTGAATATTAACTGGACTCATAAAAGTAAGATTTAACTTTTTTTCCAACGACATATGTATTAATCAACCCTAAATTTTCCTCACAAAGACTGAAGATATGGTTCCACGGCTTAACATGACATATGAAGAGCCATTTTCTCAGATGATGCATTTTCACAAACAGAAAGTTTCTGCATATAATTTTGACTGAAACACAGTTTTCAAAAGACTGAGATCACAGAATGCAGACTACTCAGGACTTTAGTTGTTGCTGAGCTGATGTTTTTGTACATTGCCTACCGCCTCTTTGAACAGCATAATCCTACCACAACTCTCTTGTTAGCTCATGAATTAGTTAATTAGCCCAAAGCAAACAGGTTCTTAGATTGGTATTTATTTTGTTTCACAGATGAAAAAAATAACTGGAAAACAAACAAAAATTTGTTCAGAAAAATTCACAAAATTCAGAAAAATGCCACAAAACTTTTTTTAAAAATTCCCAGCTCTCAACAGTTATGCCTCAGCTAAAGCTGTTTTCTGTTACACACTTCCAAATACTTGACCCTCCACCAGTAACCTGTAAGACACTTGAAATTTAATGCATAAAATGACATACCTTGTTTATTAGATGCTCAGTGACCACTTCTCTTAGTCCAGTGTAGAGTTTTTCACCATGTTTGTGCAACACCATTGTATATGCATTCCTATATAGCTCCTCAAAACTGAGACCACTATTGTTCTTCCGCTGGATCTCTTGGATTGCATTTTTAAGAAGATCCCAAATGCTATTCACATATTTCTCATCCATAGTCATCTGTAAAAATAAAGCAACACATTATTGATTAGAATCAAGAAAGATCATAACAAGAAGTTCTAACTCCAGGAGCAGTAATTGCTTTAGCTTCATTTTTGTTGATTTCCTTGTCACAATGTTTCTCAAACTTCATCAAAAGAAAAACAGTATTTATTAAATTAGTAGGGATTTCAAGAAATAGTTACTAAAATTATAATTTGTAAAAATGTAAGGAAAAAAATTGCACTGCAATACTGATCTGCTTAACCAGACCCCAAATCAACTCGTACAATGAAAGATAATAATGTCTGACACAAAGTTGGCAAATTTACTTAGTAATCTTCTTGAGCCAACTAGGTTTTCTTTATTTACAGCAATGTACTCATGGCCAAAGAACCACGTGCCTACAGTTTAAATACTTACAACTATTGTTGAAAAACCACACAAGTGTCCACAACCAACACCTATCTTGAATCTATTCCTTTGCACAAATATGGTTAAATAACTTGCTACAGGATATGCAGCAAGCACTACGCAGAATACGCATGTGCTTGATCTGTTATTCAGACACTCTATCCTTGAGTAAGTACACTACAGTATTAAAGAAAAATTCAAAGAGAAACTCTTACAAGATATAGTCTCAATATAAGAGCAAACAAACTTGTCCTCTATCTAGTGCTTAGTGTGAATCAGTTTACAATTGTCCTTTACCAAAGCAAAGCTGCTTCAAAATATGGCACTTTATAAAGATCTGTGATGGCAAGGAAGTACAGCAATAAAATACCAGATGTCAATATTACTTCAAGTTTATGATTTGGCTAAGCTTCATCACCCAGCAGAAAAAAAACAAACACTTTTTAAGGGAACTAAATTTAAATTGCAATGTTTAAAATTTGTTTAGTTAATACAAAAGGGAACTGATGTAGTATTTCAGATGTAAAGAAAAAGAGGAAAAAGCCACCAAGTCTACTCATACTATCAAAGCAGCCTTGAAAATAACAGCTGAAAGTACTAAGAGAGTAATGAACAAGGGTATGACATTATAGAGTAAAATCATGACCAACCTTGGTATATCACTGATCCCCTTCCACCACAAAAAAAAAAAGTATACAGAAGACAAACAAATAAAACCAGTTTTGCCAGCATTTATAATCAAACACAATGATTAGCAGAACTTCCTTTTCATTAGAAGTACAGTTTTACGTGCCATTTCAAAATACCAAGTTTTCTAGGCATTATAAATAAAAGCTCAGTTCACAATGAGGATAAGCCATTCATTGCCTTTGGAGGGAACTACTGGGCTACTGAACAAAATGAAAAGAAGACACATACTCCACTACTTGACCCTTGTCTTTTGGAGTTTTGGGTAAATACAAAGATTTCCATTATAAAAACAATCCTATTGGTAATTTTTCCACTAGTCTGATACCCCAAAATTGATACATCTGTGTATACCTAAACCAACAAAAAGAATCATAAACGCTTTGAAAAACTCTTAGCTCCCTATCTCCTAAAACTGAAACCTCAAAGTGGCAGAGAAATGTTGGGAGTATTGTCCTTCCCTGCTTTCTGCTTATTCTGTTAGGTATAATATTCAAAGGTCAGTTACTTTCTTTTCAATTTGCATCTGCTACATTGGTGCCTCTTCAGGGAAATTATTTTCTAAAGCCTTCCTGAACAAGCAATTTTACAAGTACTGATAATGAAGGCAACCATTTAGAATTGCAGACAATAATCCAAGCAAAAGCTATTCAGCTTTCCTTTCCAAAAACATGAGGTTTTGTTTTCAAAGCATAGACTCAAACCAACATTTAAAATGCCATTTTCTCCACTTGGTAAACAAAAATTCCCCAGCCAACATGACCACCTCTTCATCTTAACTGCAATTTAATTGCTCACTGTATTTAAAAAAGATATGATCTGTATAAAATACACAAATCACCAGTCATTACTTTGAAGAGGTATTTTAGCATTGCTGTTTCAGGGTTGATCAGCTGGCAAATATTTCTAAATGTTACAGTTAAGCAGCACACCTAATAATTCGGCCATGTTTAAGAAAACGGTAAAAGGGAATTGTTTAATTATTCTACTTTTAATCCTAATGCTATAAAAAAAATGAAGGAATGGTTGTAACATTATTTGCTTCAAACTCACTATCCAAACATAATCAGAGAGCTTTCTGTCACTCAACAATTGACACACCATGAGCTGCTCTGGAAGCAGAAGAAAGATCAAAAAATTTAATTTTAAGGAGTATACATCTCCATGGGATAAACATTCTGAAATAGAAATGTAACTACTACCTTTTAAGACGAAGCAAGAAGGACTCTGCTTCTCAGTGCAGCTTGTGGTTCTGCTACTAACTTGCTTTAGAGCACTATCTGTGCAGTTTTGGGGGAATAGGTTTGCTCAAGTTCTAGGAGATCAAGTTAGACGAGCACTGTCTTCCAAAAAAGATCTAGCTTGTTTGCAGCAGTGTTTTCTAACAAAGCAAAGATTCCTCATACTTTAAGTAACTCCACTCCATTGGGCAGTAAATCACTGCAGTAAAACTTTTGCAAAACCTTATTTCCTCTCCACTGCTGAAAAGTTGTTTGGCAGAGGTCTTCCTGTACCACTATCTTCAAAGTGATGTAAGAACTGCAATCACCAAATCCACCCCTGGATGACTTAACTCATGCACAACACGCTGCACCTCGGCGCGGCAGCATCATCCTCCTGCTGCTGCTCCCGGGCCAGGGCGCCTCGGCGGGACAGGGCGCAGGGAGCCCAGACACCGAGCCCGCCGAAAGCC